TACTATTTCCTCTTTGATATACAGGGTATTCAAGTCTTGGTATAGGGTTTCGTTTGTTACGAACCATGGAACATCCGTTATAACACGAAGGATTTTGGATTGAAACCTTTGTAGTATCACTAATATCTCTACATTGGAGTGTGATGCGGTTCCCCATAATTGAATCCCATAAGTACAAATAGGTTTAATCACAACTTTGTAAATTAGTAGTTTGTTTCTCAGATTTATTTGAGATTTGCGGCCGATCTTCCAGTAGAATTTTCTTAATAACAAACCGAGTTGTTTTCTCTTGGTGAATATATGGTTCTTCCATGGTGGTTCTTCCATCGTGAATACGTTCTTCCATGTGAGTCTTCTGTCAAGGTGCAGTCCAAGATATCTAACATGGCCAGCTTGTGGTATTGGTATATTATTCAATTTAACGGGTGAGCAAGTTGAGTGATCCATGGTAAATGAAACGTTTGTAGATTTGCATTTGTTTGCCTTTATCCTCCACATCTTAAACCATTTGGAGATGTTGTTTAGTGACCTCGTAGCACCTTGTAGCAGTGAGGATGCTAGTAAGGGGACTTCGTGAGTTGCCATAATTGCCGTATCGTCAGCAAACGTCCCGACAGTAATAGATTTATCCGTGGGCAGGTCGGCTGTAAAGAGTAGGTACAAACTGGGTCCCAGGATACTGTTTTGAGGAACGCTTGCTCGTGCCCTATACAGTCCCGTTTGTGAATATCCGTAACAAAGAATCTACGATCCTCCAAATAGGATTTAAAAAGGAAGAAATAACCAGCTGATAGGTAATGTTTTATTTTAAAGAGGAGTCCCTCATGCCACACTCTGTCAAACGCTTAAACCACGTCTAGGAACACAGCTGAGCAGTACTTTTTCCTTTTGAAAGTATTATGGATTTTGGTAACAAGTCTATGAACTTGTGCTATGCTTCTGACGAAAACGAATTGATGGTCCGAAATAAGTTTTCTTTTTTTTATGATAGATATTAATCTTGTTATTAATAAAGTTTCCAGAAATTTGGAAGTAAACTGATTGGTCTATATGATTTTGGATCATTTGATCTCTTATCCGGTTTGAGAATCATTATTACTTGCGCTACTTTCTATTGGAGGAAGTATAGAGCTCAGACTTAAAATAGCGTTGAATAATTGAGTTAAGTATATTACATCTACATTTGGAAGCTTACGTAGAACACGATCAGTAACTAGTAGTTAGTCAGTAACTTGTAGTTAGTCGCTTCTTTGCAATTCAAATTTTTTAATGCTATTGATAATTCTTTTTTGGTAAACTTGTTGAAAGCTTAGTCGTTATTATGCGGCATATCAAGATATATCATGATATTGGACAGATGTTCTTGTGGTCCTTCATACGGGTGCGGGATAAAGACGCTCTTAAAGTGTTCAGCGAAGGTTTTGGCTTTCTCTTCATTACTCCTAGCTCATGTGTCTTGATCTTTGCGCAATGGTGCTGAAGCTATTATGGATTTCTTTAATTTTTTGGAAGCCTTCCACAGGGAGTAATCTGCAGTAGTTGAGGCACCAAGATTTTGTAAATAAGAATATATGTCGGCATTTTGTCGCTATGTAGAAGTTTTTTAAGTTCCCGGGTAGTGTGGTTAAGTTTAGTTTTAACTAGAGAACCTCTTGTTTGCTGCCAGTATTTATGAATGTGCCTTTCTCTGCTACTTTAACGAGTATACTCGTATTCTTGGAAAACTGAAGTTTTAATTCTGGCCCTTTATTGGTTGGGGTCGAGTCCCAAGCCACATTCTGTATTGTTGTGACGAACTCCTCTACCGCTACAACTATATCACTTTCGGTTTTTAGCTTTACTTTAATGTTTATGATGTTATTAACGTAAGATTGAAAATGGCTCCAGTTTGTTTTATGCGTATGGAGGACACACTTTTTTGGTTGCATAACGATCATCCCTATCAAAGTTAAGATTACTGATGTGTGTCCGAGAATAATTCCAGGCTGGTTTGGCTGTTAATATATTTGTTAGAAATACCCTTAGTTAAGCAAAAATCTATAAGATCTGGAATTTTATCTTTGCCCCATGGCAATATGATGGATGCCTTGTGAATACGACGCCGAATCCCAGCTTGTCTATGATTTTAAATAATTTGCGTCTTTTCGTTGTTGTGAGCCTGGATCCCCAATAGGTATGCTTTGCATTGTAGTCATCTCCAGCGATGAATCGATTTCCCAGGGAGTTGAAGAAATTGGTAAATCGTTGCTTCTTAATGTTGTACCTTGGGGAACAGTAGATAGCTGTAAAATTGATTGGAGCATGCCAGTCCTCCACTATAATGCTTGTGGTCTGGATATCCTCTTCTTCGAATGAGTTATTTTGGAAATGTTTTATTTTATTTTTGTTGAGGACTGCCGTGCTCCCATGTGCTGAGACGTCAGGATATATGTTATAGTTTAGAATACAATAACTCTTCCTAGTACAATGAGTTTTTGAAATTAGCTTAACATCTATGTTATGTGTTTAGGAAGATTTTGAGTTCTTCCATGTTTTGAGCGAGCCCATTAACATTTCAATGGGCTAGTTTTATGGAATTTTATTTTCCGTAATCTTAGCTATGAAGTTTCCAATCATCTTGATTATTTGGTACAGTACAAAATGCGACATTTTCACTATATTCATGTTCTCAGGGATCGGATTTTCTCTTTGTATTTCTTTCTGTCTTTGCAAATTAAGGTTGTGTTGCATATTATTACTAGCTGATCTTGACTGTGATTTTCCACTCACGATTTCAGAGTAAGTTGAATTATTTCCTCCAGGTTTTTTCTGACCTGTATTTCTACTTTTGGAGATAGTTTCGTCAATGTCGGTGCGTTTCGTGCTCTAAAAGAAAGGTACATATCTTTTTGTATCTCCTTAAATACATTGCATCCCCTGTAAATAGCCGGGTGGTTGCCATCGCACGAGACACACTTAATCTTGTCGAATCTTTCTTTACGATATCAGTTGACTGTGAGATGCTCCTCAATGCATTTTACACATCTTAACTGACGGTAACAAAATTTCTTAGTGTATCCATACCTTTGACAGTTTGCGCATTGGGGAATGTCTCTTTTAGGCCTGGGAATTTCAAAGGTAACTTTACAATTTAACATGTGTTCGATTGTGTAAATTGACTTATTATTTGTATTAGATTCAAGATCAACAAGGAATATTGGTAGTGGTTTCTTTATCAGTCTGTTTTTAATATTCCAGATGTTGTTGACTTTGTGCCCAAGTACCTCTATGGCTGCTTTAAGTTCTTCAATATCTATAAGTGGATGCTTGTTTCTTAGGACAGCTCGGAAGTTTCTTTCCTGTTTCTATTTGTACGTATGGAACTCCATACCCTTCTCGCGTAATTCTTTTACTATGATGATGTATGCTGTTGTCGATTTTGATTGTATCTTAACTTGTTCATCGCGTAGGATTTTTATTATATAATCATCCTTGGCTTTTTCATTTAGTAGTTTAGTGAGCGGTTGGATATTGGCTATTCTGTCTACGAATATGAGAGGTGGTTTGATAGTTTATTCTTTTGTCGTTTCAATTCGATTCTTGTTGCTTATCAACATCAAGGCATGCATATGAATTTGACGTCGGTACAGAGATATTTAAACAGCATCCATCTAGGTTGGTTTGTCCACGTTTGTCTTGATGTATTCCTGGGTTAGTACGTCTGGGTAAGTAATGTTTTCTTCTTGGTTGCTTCTTTCCAAGCACCTTTTCCGTTTTCCATTATTTTATCCTTCAGAAGAGGGGTTTGAGGAATAGCTTTTGCTATACTGTGAGTATATCCGCTAATTAAATTGGAGCACAGTCTGTTTAACAGATAGTTCCTGTTATTAATGTTTTAGATGTTATTTTTTTCAGCAAGTGCAGGAATTTGTTTATTGGTCATACTTGTTGATGAATTTTCTAATAAGTTGACTGTTTGACCAGAATTAGACAATGGGCGACCTCCCCCCCCCCTCAAAATCTTTGGGGCCGACCTCCGAGGAGGGTGGATTTTTTGAGTTTCTTGGGCCACCTGGGGCAATTACTTCCGTTTTAGTTTTGTCCATTGCTTATATTACTAGTTTTGGTTTTGGTCCGGATATTTTATTTCCCCGATACCCTCCAGTTAGAGATGACAAACGCCGGTAAGCTTGCTCCAAACTGCCACCTGGAGAGGAACCCGATGGGAAATTAGTAACCTCTCACGAGGCGATGATAAATGAAAAATATTTTGCTAAAGATGTTACAAATATCCTGTCAAGGATGTTACAAACAGAGGACATATTCGTGGCATCATTTCGCCATTGGTATCTCTTATGAGAAGGCACACACTAGTGCACGCGTGGCGGACGAAACTCTTCATGCATATTAGCGCGAATATTAATAGATATATTAGGAGTATTCAAAAATTTCCGCCGTTTGTAGGAGAAAGGAGATAGGATCAAGCAGGAAATCAGAACACATTTATTCAACAAAATATTGACCATTAGCATGACATTTTATCATTTTTCTGGCAACAAATAAGTGTCCCTGTGATAGAAGGCCTCGAGGTTCGAATTGGAGAAAGACAACAATAAATTTTTCAACATCTGCAACTGTGGTGAACCGTTGTTGTGCTAGGAAATGTTATATTGAGCAAAACAAATAAAAGTCGAAAGATGCTAAATCTGGGTAATAAGCCGGGTGTAGTAAAACTTCCCACTTTAACTGTTCAAGAGTTGATTTTGTGATTGCACTACCAGGTTGATTGAAAAGTCTTTAGAAAGACACATTAGTGATGTTGTTATCTTCAATGCACTGTAAGTTTCCAGTAGTGCTAACTTTCACACCTCTCACTACATAGTTGCAGACAGCTATGACAATCAGTATATTTGTGACAGCCACCGGAAGCATATAAACTCTGATATTTTGTAAAAATGGAAAAAACTGAAATTCGTGCAGTGATTAAGTATTTCTATCAAAAATTCATGCCACCGCAAAAAATGATTGGGAACTTCCAAAAACCTTTGAAGGATTCTGTTCCGTCGAATGCAACCGTATATAACTGGATAGCTGAGTTTAAACGTAGTCGTATCAGCACATTGGTTGCACGACACAGTGGTCGTCCAAATGAAGTGACTACACCAAAAATGAGTAAAAAATCCATGATATTGTTTTGGATGACCCCAAAGTGAAATTGCATAAACTAGCTGCGGCAGTAAGCATCTCACCTGAACATGTGTTCAATATCCTGCACGAACATTTGAGTGTGAGGAAACTAACTGCAAGATGGGTGCTGCAATTGCTAACAATCGATCAAAAACGTGAATGAGTTCGCACTTCTCAGCATTGTTTGGACATGTTTAAGCGCAAATCAGAGGAATTTTTGCGTCGATACATAACCGCTAATGAAACATGGGTCCACCATTATACCCTTGAATCGAAATAACAATCGGCACAGTGGGTTCCAAAGGGAAAGTGTTCCGAAGCGAACGAAGATGCAACAATCGGCTGGAAAGTTTCTGGCCATTGTGTTTTGGGATGCACACGAAATAATCCTCATCGATTATCTTGGAAAAGAAAGAACAATCGCAATGGAATATTATGCATCATTGCTAAACCGATTGAATAATGAAATCAAGAAAAAGCGGCCTCATTTATCGAAGAAAAAAATTATCTTTTATCAAGACAATGCACCAGCTCACAAGTCCGTAAAAGCAATGGCAAAATTGAACAAATTGAGGTATGAATTGCTCTTACATTCATCACATATTCTTCAGATCTGGCCCCATGTGACTTCTACATGTTTCCAAATCTCAAATGATGTCTCCAAGAAAAGAGATTTGCTTCAAATGAAGAGATGGAATGGGAAGTAGACGCATATTTTGGCGGTTTATAAAGTTCTTATTATTTGAAATACTTAAAGAAACTAGACACTCGTTGGACTCGATGTATTAAGCTAAAAGGAGATTATGTTGAAAAATAAAGTTGAGTTTTGCTAACAAAACGTTTTTTTTTAATTTTCTTTCTTAGGACTTAGTAATCAACCTAGTACATGAGGTCTGACATTGTCGTGTGATAGGATAATTGGGTGACGTCTTTTACCAGTCTATGTGCGTTTTCGCTCAATTTCAGTGTTGAGTTTCGTCAATTGAGTGCTATACCGTTGTACAGTGATTATTTCGTCCGATTTCAACATTTCGATGTTGACAACACTCCATGAATATCCTACCACACACATGACAGCACTTTTTTCCCGTGGATATTCTGTTTTGCAGTAAATATTGATGACTGGCCCAGATTGACCTAGGATCGCTTATATACTGGGTTGTCACAATAGATCCATTTTTCATCGCCGGTTATCTCCTTCCACAAGAAATTCTTTCGTTGAAACCGTTGCAGCAACGACATGCATTTGCCCAATCGTTGACCAACATTACGTTTCGTTAAAGTATGCGGAATCCATTTACTAACCTTCTGAATCTTTCCCAACACTTATAAACTCGTACCACCGTCGATTGATTCACTTTTAAACGTTTCATCAGTTACGTGGTCGATTGTATGGCATCCTCTTGCAATAGCAATTCCAGCTCCTCAACTACGAATTCCTTCGGTCTACTAACGCGTGGTTTGTCTTTCAAGCTTCGATCACTTTTCTTAAACCTGGCAAACCATTCTCGACACGTTCGCTCACCAATAACCGTATCACCATAAGCTTGATATATTAATCAATATGCTTTACTTGCACTTTTTCTTAAATTAAATATGAATAACAAACCGTGGCCCTTATGAACTTTATCGGCCGCCATAATTGGTTTCATGAGTAAAATAACTGCATGGGGAGTCGGCCGGTTAGACGACTACAGCGACATGTATCGGTAGCGGCAGAAACGTTTGCATACCCCTAATTGAAAGGAAGTTTCGAAGTGATCGGAAAGAAAACCTATTAGAAATAATTATTACATTGTTTTGAAAAGGACGATTGACGAGATGATTGATCTTGAACACGAGAATTAGAGGATGCGGACAGATATTAAGACAATTATTTGGTTGGTAATAAGTGTGGTGAGAAAATATGTCCAATTAAAATGAAGCACGGCATAAGAATGACTAAGCGCGATTTTTCTGCGGTCCAACAACATTCTTTTTTTTATTTCGAATCAGTAAGAGCATTATCGCACACCTTAGACGTAAGAGTGATAACAATTACGATACAGTGTCGCCTAAAAGTCATAGTTTCGATTAGAGATGCTTTGAACGAAAGAAGAGTAATTTTTAGTAGCAATACAAATGATTAGCAAACGAAAAGAGCACGCCATAAAGTTAGATTAACAACAGCATCATTCAACCAGCAATATAAAGGTACAGATACAGTACAACAGATACAGGTAGACGATTCGCTCCCGTGGTATCGACCGCATATCGACATAAATTTTAAACAATTAAGTTATATGAATTATAAGTATTACGAAATTTTTAAAGGTTGAGCATCATGTTCTGTAACGGTTCGTTCGGGATGACAAAATTTGATGGCTAATTTTTAATTCAGGATGACGGAGTTTCTGAAAAAAATGCCGCGTCACCCTTGTCGCTTGTAAAAGCAGTTGCCAGAGTGAGTCGTTCACGCGGTCGTAAAAACAATTCATAAAAAAGCAAGTCAGCGTTAATATAATACATGCCAAAGAACTAATAGTCATAGACATATAATATATAGAAAGAAAAACGAATAATATTGTTTCGTCCTGCGTACTTCACGGAAAATGAATTTATTTTTTGCCCTTTCTTACAAACTCTAGTTCTCTTGCCTTGGGAAACACACATTTGACCAAGCGGCACCCTGTAATGAAACTCTAATATGACTAGGAACATAGTCTAAGAGGTCGACCAGATGTGGAAAGACGTTGGTCCGCCATAAAACTCAAATCCAAAAGTTGTTAATAAGATTTCTATAACACATCTGATACAACTAATGTTTTCCAACATATCTGTTCTGCGAATAGTATAAAGCAAACACGCAGCGATCCCTCTCTCACCCTCACGTCTTGCGTGCGCTTTTATGGTTGTTAGCATTTTAAGAATCACGTTCAAACTTCACCCATTGTTCCTCCAAAAGAAAGATACGTTCAAACAAAACATAAGTCCCTCTCCCCAATTGTAGGAGTGGCCAATTTCTGTCTCCTACGTCTAGAGGGTTGTCATCACTTTTTACTTAAAAAAACTATTGGAAAACCTCTCAGTCCTCTACATCACCCTTCCACGAAAATTGTTCTCATTGGCAATTATCATCTGCCATTCTTAAAATTCTCCATATAAAAACCCAAATCTCTTGCCACCTCGAGCAGTACCCCGCAGTTCTTTAGCAGTACCCCGCAGTTCTCCAACAGTATCCGGCAGTATCAGTATCTAGCAATGCCCCACAGTTCTTTTAGCAGTTTTGAGAAATCTTGACAGTTCTCAGCAGTTCTTAGCATTTTGGGATTCTCATTCTCGGATTAGATATCCAATCTCAACGTTTTCTTTAAGTTATAGTTTTCATTTGTCACCGTCATTATGTTAGTTCTCATGTATATATGTGTATTAATGTTTTGTATTAATCCGACCACAGACATGTTGTGCGTACAATACACCACAGTCGATCCACTTAAATGTAAATCTCTATTTCATATTTAAACATGATTTTTAATAATTTCACTATAATTTCCAATCCTACTTTACTCCTTAAACACACATATACACAGCGTGATTATTATCTTCCCTGTATTATATGTTATTCTCACCATACCGACATATTAAACATTTTTGTTACATTAAATCCGATTATATTACATTAAGTTACACAGGTTACTTTTTATTTAATATTATTTTAATCTTCATCTTTTATTTCCATTATTTCAATAATGCTGATTTATAAATGTTTTTTTGATGTTAAAACATATTTTTCATTGTTTAACTTTAGCTAACCGTCTCATCTTTTAAATATTGTATTTTTTACAATGACTTTTCTCATCAATTTCTCACTATTGAAAAATGATCTATATGAGAAGCAAATTATGTTATTAGTATAATTAATATACTCTTTTATTCAAAATTTCCTAAATTTATCTAAGTTTGTTACATTTATTCATTCATTTCCTTTCAATCACTTCAATCAGAATTCCTCTTTCAACACTCTCATATGGTCCTATCCCAGATAAAAGATTAAGTTCCTTGATCTAAATAAAGGACCTAACGTGCGTTCTGCGATCTGACTAAATGGGCCTTTCCGGACATTGACCTGATCCCCGGGCCTGCCAGTACATTTAGGCCTCGCGAGTGGCCAGGACGAGTTTGCGATGTTTGTTGCATACATCCTCTTCCAAGACGTAATAAGTATAATTGCTGTAATAAATATGTCGATATGCATAATAATCGCAGTTATTTAGGCTCCGCGATACATTTCAACGTATGCTACGTTAGAGTAACATGGCGAGGAGCAGAAATTGGGGAAAAAAGAAAATGAAAAATCAATAGAGTATGTAGGTTGGAACGTCTGCCAAAATCGCTGTAGATGTAACACTATCTTTATTGCTCATTACATATTGAAAGACAATAGAATAATGCCTTCAGTATGAAAATGTCCAAAACAAATTTAATCTTTCTATTTTATGTGTTCATCTTCCAATTTTAAAGACAAACTCAGATTTTTTTATCAGCGCAAATGTTATAAATGTTCGACTGCTTTTAGAAAACATAACGATTGAATACTTCGTCAACATAATTAGTCTAAATTTAGGAATCTATCTATAAAGACCAATCACTTATAACTCATTAATCGCTTTGTTTTGCTGAATACATGCTTTGAGTACAAAACAAAGGATAAGCAATACCTTTGTCTTTATATCGTGTAAACTTATTATAAATAATAAATCTGTAGTAGTTATGATCATATGGCCTAGATGATGCCTCACGATTTCAGAATTATCACAAGCTAAAATCATATTTAAGAATATCCTCCCTCTAATGATTATTAATCACATATGATAATTCTGCTCTAGGTCCGGATCCTACTTTTAACCCCAACCTGTTTTCCGAAGATGAAGAAGAATCATACCAAGAATTTCAGGCAAGCTCGCGAACCATTTCGGAGGCGCAGCCACCACCGATTGCGCCGATGACTCCTCGCAACACCCGACTCAATCCAAATCGACCTCAAATCTCAAATCAGTTTCTAACATCGGAGAATTTGCCATCATCGTTAGCGAGAGTCGAAGGCTATGAAAGCGAGTTTCCATACGTAGATATGCAAGATATGGGTAATCTATACGAAAATATTCGAAACGCTTCTACAAACACCTATCGTACACCACCGAGACACAATCCGCCTCGGTGTTGCGACGTGCCGGCCCTGCAATCGCCAAAGAACGCAGTGGCACCTACTCAAACGTTAATAGCAACTTCGAACGCCAATGCCGACTATGCCAACAGTATCCAAAGGATGAAGAACGCTCTCGCGGATCAGCAAGCGGGTATGGCCACGAAAAAGGAATTGGAAAACAACAAGCTCAATCAACTCTCACAGGACGATAAGGCGAACCTAACGACCAGTCCGGCGAACATTATTTCGATGTCCATGTACAACGGTCAAATCTCGAACGCAGAAGCGTCGAGCAGCCGGCACATTTCTCAGGCCTCAATCTTGAAGAGTTTAGAAAGTACCATAGATTGCTCTCCGGCGCAAACCGTGTATTTGAATGGTTTAAATAATACTGCGTGCGGGAGCAACGTTAGCTCGATTATCACGCCACACATTAGTGCCGTTCAAGCCGCGACTTCGCAAAGCACTCATAGTTTTGTACATAGTAAAAATAATCAAAACACCGGGACGAATGCGATACCTTTGAATGGCTCTTCTCATATGCTTGGGCAAGGATTGACTTTGTTTACTAAAAGCGGTGTACACACCACTACCGGAGTGGTTTCGCCGGCATGTTCCTATCAATTTCCGGAAAACATTGACCAGTGTTTCGAATCGTGTTCGCAATGTTTTTCGAAGCACGGGACTAAAGATCTCAAATGTCACGTGTGTTATGGGAAGATGAATCCAGGCTACGTGAACATTGGCACGCCCGCTAATGGTAAACCGGAGATGCACTTTATCGACGACGAAATTCGCGCCGATACAGAAACATTGGAGCTAATGCGTAGCGTTCATAGAACTTCGACAGTGATCAGCATCAGTCCGATGTGCTCAAACGACTCAATTGTTCGAAGCTGCAGTGTCGGGTATTTAGACTTGGTGGATGCTCAATTGGTTCCGTGCGACGTAGCCTTAAGAATGCTTCGACGAGATGCGCCAAACAAGAGGCTAGTTTTGGTGTCGCGAAAAACGAAACGAAGGAAAAAGAATAAGCCCCAACATACTGATATAATTCAACAGAGCTCAAAACCGCCCAGACTCCGTAATTGCGGCAAGTCCAAAAGTCTTGATTCTAGCGATATATTTCCGAGTAACGAACAGATCATTACTGCGCCGCAATTGCCAGAACATATTGAAGAGGCGACAGGTATTGTTAATTGCGAGACTGTCGATGATAAGTGCAGCGAATTTATGGTACAACCGATAGATGAAACACACGAGGTTGTGTCTAAATACGAAGAAATTGAGAAAAACATTACCGGAAGTCTTACAAGGGAAAAACTGAACCAGTTAGAAGCTGCTGCATCTCCCATTAGGTGAGTACAGTCTGTTTAATAAAAGCGTCACCGATATAACTTTGAAATCAATTATTATACAAAAATGTTTTAAATCACTTACGTAATATAAATATAATAATATATTTAGTACTCAATCATTATAACGCTATTAATAAGTCATCCAATCACCACCATCAGCTATTGTCTGATATCTGTGAGGCATACTATTTACCAATGTTACAATACATTTCCAAGGTAAAGATCGTTATTTCAAACAATTTGTCAAGATAGTTGTTTCGTCAAGTACATTTTTTCTCCCATGTAGCATCATCTTCATTAATCCCCAGACATTTTTTTCCCCAGTAGGATTTGCATCTGGTTATTGAAATGGCCAATCTAATGTTTCGATGTTATTTTCTTCTTTCCATTGACAGCAAAAACGACTACAATATTTTGGATCAATGTCCACATAAAAAATCTAATCTTAACATTTGCTTCGAAAACACCTTTTATCAGATGGAATTAATGCTCTCTAATCAATTTTAACTATCTTTTTGCATCCAAATTCTCAGTAAATAAAAGTAAAGTTTTAAATTCTTAAAATTCTTTAAATTCTTAAGTTGAAAAGTGGTCCCAGACATGCATCTTTACCGGATGTTTCATGGTCCGCTGAAGAAGATTACTCATAGGAATAGATCAAATTCAACTGATAGTGTTTCGTGGCCCAAAAAAAGAATCATCGGAAAAAAATAACATTTTTTCCAATCGCGATATTTTCACGCGCCCAAGTTATTTCTTTCGCAAAATCTTTTTCTGAAAGAAGCAATTTCTTCATTATATTTCAATGTTTGATATTAGAAACTAGTAAACAAGTCCGAATATTCTCAAGTGATAAAATAATACCTCTTTTCTCAATTTGGCCTATCTCTCATCCAGCAATAATAGGCAATTTGTAGAAAATAACTATATAATCTATTTATCCTCTTTCTTCGATGTTTTCTGTGTCTTATTGCGGTTTAGCAGATCATTAACGGTGTTTGTTGTTTTACATCATTTTATCCACTTCCTCACAAAAACTTTTGATCATTTTATTTTGCAACCACTTTCTGTGATATTTTCGATCCTTTTGAATGCGTGGAAATGAAAGCAGCTTCGAATCTTTTGATGTATGTGGCACTCATCGTTAAACACGTTATTTTTTAGTAAAATTTTAGTAAAAATTTGGATAATAACTGGGATCTATATAATGCACCGTAAAGAGAAAACCGTTCTATCTATTCGTTCAAAAATTTTCGATGTAACACTTTTCACATAGAAATTTGCCTGGCCACGCTCTTATAAGATAGATTGTAATGAAAAAGATTTAGAAATTTTTACACATATGCACACATATACACCTATAAGAAAATTACTTTTTCAAAGTAACTGGTAAACTTTACCATTAATTATCTTGATAAATAACTATAACGTTTCCATTATTTAAAAAGTAATAAATTGTTATAATTCCAGTTACTTTTCTCTCTAAATTTTGAAAATCTTTACCACTTTCTGCTGCCATGCACATCTACTTTATACATACAAAGTATATATAACGGTAAAGGTTTACATTCATTATTGTTACTTTAAAAATGTAATTGCATTACCGTTATTATTACTAACCAAAAAAGATAAAATCGTTACGTCGTTAAGTTCATAATAAAAAAAGTATTTAGTAACAGTAGCGGCGTAATAAGTAACGCGTACATATAACGACAAGACAGAAACCGCTTTCCAAATTGTTTATAAATAAAAATCTGATTATTAATTCAGAGGTTCAAGCCCGAGTGGATCTTTTGCTTCATCGCTCGACGGTCTTGCTGCGAGACTTCGAGATTTTGATGAGAGGCATTCTTTACCACCACCTTCCCCTCGTCCATCATCAAGGTAATATATATTAAATTATTAAATGTGTCCACATAGCTCGTTAGAAGTTTATTTATATACACTCGATAACAGATTGCCGAGGAGTTCGCCTAGTAGTCCAGCACCTTCTAAAAAAGGCAAACGGCCCGCGTCAGCTTCTCCAATCCGAAGAAGGCTTCTGTCGAGCCCGTTATTGAGTAGAAGAATGAGAAAAAGTCGCGGCGAAAGCTCGGACGAGGAAGGACTTCTTCAAGATGACTCCTTGACGTGTTATAGAGATCTAGAGACATTTCAAAAAGCTCAACTACGTCAGAAGGTCTGTGGTGAAAAGACTTGACATTTAAGAAAAATTATATTTGTTTTCGCGTTAGGAGACTAGTTAATAAACTTTATTTATAGTTAAAACAAAGAGGAGTGGGTGTTTCGGGTTCCAAACCAGAAGCGATAAGGCGCGAATTGGTGATGCACAATAAGGCACCCATGTGGAACGAATCCAGTCAAGTGTATCAGCTCGATTTTGGTGGCAGAGTGACTCAAGAAAGCGCTAAGAACTTTCAAATTGAATTCAGAAATAGACAGGTGAGAACAAATAAACCTTCTTGATGCTCAAATGCTCCATTAAATTGCAAAATAATTTCAAATTTCTGTATCCAGGTAATGCAGTTTGGCAGAATAGACGGCAACGCGTACACGTTGGACTTTCAATATCCGTTCAGTGCTTTGCAAGCGTTCGCTGTTGCTCTAGCAAACGTCACGCAACGGCTGAAGTAACTGTCGCTTTCTGAGCGATGTTTACATTATGTAATGAGAAATGGTAGAACTTCGAAACGCACGAACTCGTGGGTGTATGAAGAGCCGAAGCAAGAAACAAGTTCGATTTTTCTCAAACGGGAGTAGAGGTCGAGATCATCTTTGATCGTTAAGATTGAATAATAATATACCGATGGATATATTGTTGAAGATACTGACTAAGGATATTGACTGACCGATTCTCGTAATTCCTAATTAAACTATCAACCTCAGCTATGACGAGAAAAATGTCACGTAGCCGGAGATTGCCGGGACTTATAAAATGAACGAGACGCTGGATATTAGACATATATGTGCAAATGATGAGAGGCATGCATGCTAACTCAAGTATTTATGCGAATACAGTCATGAGCAAATTGAATTCGAGCGGAACACAAAGATTTTGTAGCAACTGTGTATAATGTTTCGTTGAACGCTTCTTCGTCGTACCGTCCAAAATATTTTGTTTCCCCCAACTTCGAACGCCCGTTTTGTATAGTTTATGCGACACGTTGGAGTCTAGTAACGCTGTTGAAGATTCATCTCGTTCATTTTTTCAGTCAGCCGAATGTATTCGAATTTTATATACATATACTATATGAACGAACTCGCACAGTTGGGGCGGGACTTTCGTGTTGTTCAATTAAATGTTTCTTAAACAGTTATGATGAGAGTAATGATAATAATAGTAACAATAATGATAACGATAATAATAATAATAATAATAATAATATTAATATTAACATCAATAGAACAATTTTAAGATGTAACGTAACGTCCGGCCTGTAATGGTCTCCGCCATTAACGGTAGCAGAGCAGACTGATTCTAAGGGAAGTGACGAAAGGAAAATAGAGCGAAAGTATGAACATCTAAATCTAAGTGTATGCATCAAAATAATCCACGTATATACTTAACCACTTGAGTAGTATGTACGCAATAGTGTGCGCCAAGGTCCATACATAAGTGGCATTCACATACTAATGCGCATTATTGCCTTGGAAAGAACTTACCTCATTTCTTCGCTAAAAATGTATTATTGAATTTAAAAAAATTAATTGCATGTTTTCGATATCATGGAATACGAATTTTATATCAAAATAACATAATTTTCAATTCCCGATACACTATTTTTTGTTTAATATACAATTTAAAAGGGGTATAAAGGGGTTTGATTGCGGGAAAAGTCGATTCAACATGTTATTTCAGACACAAAAATTAATCGATTAAAAAATCCTTTTGTAAATTATTTACACTCTGTATTAACAATAAAAACATATTTACACGATCAAGAAATATTAACAAATAGAGATGTTGCAGCTGAATTCATCTAATGGTATATATCGCACGAATGGTTTTGCAATGATCTGATTAATAATTTTATAAGCAGTAAATGGCATTGTGTTTCTAAACTTTTCCTTTATAGAAAAACTAAGAGAAAAAACATCTTAAAAGATTAATATGGCAGCAAAAAACAAAAACGTGCTGAAAAAATATATCATTTAAAGTAATAACTTTTAATAAATAACATTTTCTAAACGAAGTTTAGTCTGTTCTATAGAAAAATTATTGCTTTTTAATTTATAAAAGAGTTTCTTAATATCTTTGTTCATTTTTAAGTTATCGTTGCAAAATTACATGAAAAGAGTTTTAAGAAAAATGTGTTAAAAATTCTAATACTAACCTTTCCTAGAGCGAAATATATTACTTATATCAATTAAACATTGCCTAGGTTATAAAATAAGGTTTTGAATTTTCACTTTAGTTTCTTGTTTAGCGGCAACAACTGTTCGTCTTTTTTGCAACTATAGCTTTTTTCGTTGTGGAAAGCGCGCTGATCTTCGCTTTGTTGAAACGATCCTTGTCTACTGTTTTACACATTTCGGCGGCACAAGGTTCGCTTTCTACTGATGAAATGCTCGTTAAACAAGAAATCGTGTTTTTCCGTCATTAAATATCGTTATGGCTACGTATGTCGCATATTAATTCAATAGCGGAAATATTTGCTCCGTTCAAAGAATCTTTTTGAACCATTTTCCACACAGTTGAATGAAAACTTTCATTAGCTTTTTAAATATAATAACAGATGTATTTAAATAATAAATTACCATTAGACATAATTTCAAAGATCGGCTTTATTGCATTCTTCTTCGTTTTATTCTCCTAAAACTATTCATTTTTATCTCAATTCCTATCAGTTACGTGCTGCGGTGGGTAACTCTATATATATGGCGCCAGTCTTCAGATTAACCACGCATCAATTCACACTCTCTGCTATTCTAAACCGAATTTTTCGAATTTTTCAATCTGACAAAAGGAGAAATATTTCTAAAGATTCATGTTGTACAAAAATATGAAAAACTAAAACTCGATTTTTTCGAAATTTTAAACTTTTCTATCCTTCTTAATTCAGTTTGTTTTATTAGATTGCTTTTATGATTGATGCGAGGAATAAGATTATGTTTTCATCATATTTCTTGTTAAGTCAAATGAAATTTTATTAATATTTTCGAAAAATACTATGAATAATTAAAATCCTAAAAAAATATAAAAAACAAAAACAAACAAAAAATACAGAAAATATAAAAAAATATATATATGATACAAAAAACACTAAACAAAAAGGTGGAAAATCCTATCGCTGCAGTCTCCCCGCGACACACTCCATAGTCGTGTTTCAAATCTTCAGTGCAAAAGTAAACTGCGCTTAAATTTTCATAAACATTTATAAAAATTTCATTTGATTTAACATCAAATATTATGAAAGTATAATCTAAGTCCCCAAATTAATGTACAAGAAAGAAATCTAATAAAATTAACTAAATTAATTGTATTTAACAGAAAACGATACATCTGATCATGTGTACATTATATGAACATTCATATATACATAAGAAATTTAAAATTATTTAATTTTGATATAAAATTCGGATTCCGTGATATCGGAAACATAAAAGTAGTGATTTTTAAATTCAATATTACATTTTTAGAAAAAAAATGAGGCAAGTTTTTTCTGACACAATATCACGCAATAGTACGCAATAATTCGCGCATGCCACTCAAGTAGTTAATTCAAATCGCATGATAGCACCATGACTTCGTTGGTACGAAAGTGATGTAAACAAATTAAATATTGTGCATCAAACCTATGTGAAAAAATGCTTCTATCGGTTAGAAATTCATCATATTCTATGACTGGAGGTGTCCAAAACAATCAGACAAATTCCACGCGAGACGAACAACAGAGATCGCATGATTTTGTGCAAGTGCACAGATTCTCGAAATAACAATGCAAAGCTCTCACTTCGGCCGTTGCGCAAATTCGTCAAGATTGTGCAACATGAGGAAAAGTCCTCGTAGATCACGTACTCCTTTTTCAATTTGCGAAACGATGCAATAGAGAAGGATTAAAGAATGCACAAAATGTCACTTCAAAGCTCCCGTAGTATTCACTACTTCTGCAGTACTCGTGGACTTTACACTATAGAACCGTAAAAGTCATTCACAATGGCCATAACAGTATAATTGTAAGCCCACAGTATTTTGCTAAGGGTCATTAAATTTAATGTTTTTCGATGTTCTCTGCAATAGTTTACAGCAAAACATAAGGCAGGTCAATCAGAAAGGGGAAGGTTAGAATTTTAATGTGCTAGTTTGTTCTGATTAGTCGATATAAAGCATATGGAGTAAGAAATGCAAATAATTCATTACAATCTTACATTGTGGCCTATTACAGCGGAAACTATTCCTTATGACAGTTCCTTACGGACTGACAGTTATATTCTTACAGTTATTTAACGGCCTTAAGACCGTACTTTTTCACGACATTATGTAGTCATCAACCGCAGCAATTTTATGCGCTGCTACAAACATCGACGGAGCTAATTAAGATTTATATGCTTTAATATCGAATCGCATGTTCCGATTACGTTCTAAATCACGTACCCTCCGTTCGAGACGCCTTACATTAATAATTAACGCCCAGTGAACACATACGTAACCCATAAAGTACAGGAAGGTTGCAAGAACATTGTATAGACATTACAGTGGAACATCATAATATTCCATATACATGGTGAGTTAGTTAAAGTGTGACAAACGTATATCTCAGGAACAAAGCATTTTACAGAATAATGTTTCATATAAAAGTTTTATTTCGAGGAATGCATAAAATGGTATCATTGGTTTGACCTTTGGAGGTCTTTCAAAGGTTACATGAAGGTAACCTTCAATTTTTGAAATAGAAACTGCTTTTTATTGCATATTTTTGTAACTTACCTCTTGAAAACTTTTCAAATTGCTATTATAAAATATTTCAACATTAAGTACTTTTTGAATTATTAAGTTTACAAATGAATAATCCAAAGTTTTCAGCTAAATTCAAGATTTATTTTAAAAGAAAGTAAAAAATTTTTTAAACTAATGTATTCGTCGTTGCTTTCTATAACTTTAAGCCTTTAGGCAGCTGATGAATTCCATCTCGGAAAAATGCTATGTCTTTGGACACGATAAAGCTGTCAAGCCGTTTTCGGATCTAATTCACTGATTCAAGTGAGTATCAGACAAAGCGTGTTGCATCGACCGGAACAAATGATAATCGGATGGAGCAATATCTGATGAATACGCCAAGTGCTGCAAGACATTCCAGCCAAGGTTCATTCCGGTGTCTTTTGTGTTGGAAGCAATGTAAGATTTGGCGTTGTCATACAACAATTTCATAAGACGTTCTTCTTTGCCAATATAGGGGCGTTTCGGTTCCAATTCTTTAATTCAAAGCGGATTAATTTAGCGTTGGAAACTTGCTTGCAGTAACTTTTACCCGGTTTCAATAGCTCATAATAGAACGCCCTTGATATTCCAACAAATGCAGAGCAGATCCTTCTTTCCGAATTGGGCTTTGCGACCGATGTTGATGGTTCACCAGGATTTACCCATGACTTTCTGCGTTTCGAATTGACATAGAGCATCCATTTCTCATCGTAACGATTTTCCACAAAAAGACTTTCGACGCTGTTTATTGAAAAGAGAAAGACGTTAATTTTTGTTGGCTTCAGTGAGTTCATGCGGAACCCATTTTCCTTCTTTTTGAATCTTACCCATTTCATGTCGGCGTTTGTAAACGGTTTATTGCGTTATTCCCAACTGCTCTGCAAGCTCCTTTTGAATCTGTGCCGAATTCTCGGTGAGCAGTTGTTCCAAATTATCGTTGTCGCATTTTCGAGGGCCTCTAGGACGTTGTTTGTCGATCAGACTAAAATCACCGCTTTTAAACCACTTAAACCAAAATGTGCACACACCTCACGATACGACACCTTTGCCGAGAAAGAAACAAATCGATTGGCATTCTCTAGCAGCATTTTTTTCTTGTTGAAATTCATAAAGAATACAGTGCCGGATATGAACCAAATCTGTTGCCATATTCGATTCTACTGAACTGAGTGCTTTTGAAAGTTATGTTGGATCTTTCGCCATATTAAGTGTCATTTTTAATTGCTTTATGTCAACACTACATATACGCCGAAGAGCTGGAAAATTAATTGATTTTAAAATTAATTTATTTATTTCTTAATTGCTTAAAAACGTATGGATTATTTATTTGTACACCTTATATAAAGTTTGAAAGTTGCAGTACCGCCGACATTAGCACTATCCAAGGTAAGTACTCCACGATTCGCCATTCCCATAATATTTTATAACTACAAACGTTCTCTGTTATGTGTTGGTGTGAGCGCGCGCGTGTGCGCGCGTGTGTGTGTGTGTGTGTGTTCGTCAGTAGATATAAAGATCCCACAGTTCGTCACTTTCGTAATATTGTTTAACTCCAAACCATCTCTGCTGTGTGTTTTGGTTAGCGTTACTACCGGCAGTTTTGCATTTCAAACCTTCAAGCACTTCAAGCCTTATAATTCAACAAAAATTTAATGTAGAAATATTTTATAATAGTGTTTTAAAAAGTTCCCCAGGTAAGATACAAAAATACGCAATAAAAAGTAAGAGTTTCTATTTAAGAAATTAAAGGTGACCTTCATGTGACCTTCAAAAATCTCTCAAAGTTTAAACCAATTATACCATCTTATGCATTCCTCGAAATCAAACAACTTTTATATGATAGTTTGTTGTGTAAAATGTTTTACTTCTGAGATATATGTTTGTCACACTTTAACTGACTCTCCCCATATATTGAAAAATGTTACAGCAACG